CGGTTTAATTGTTGTTGTTACTATTGTTGTTTTTCCTTCCAGTTGGCCCTCTTCCAAAAAGTCACTTGTGGTGTTGCTTGGGCCTTTTCTTAATTTGCTTAAAGTGATTGGTGTTGTTCTCTGCTCTGTACTTACTTGCCTCCCGAATATTACATTCCAAACAGTTATGATGGTTTATCTCTCTGTCTGACCTGCTTTCTTGGTCCATTTCCTAGAAGTCTTACCATTTTAAAATCAGGTAGCCATTTCTCCCCTTCCCTCTCTCCCCCTTCCTGCCCCCTCCCCCCCAGTCCTTGTCTGTCATTGTTCTGTTTTCCTATTTTTCAGATGCAGAAGCAACACAGAAATTTTCAAATCCAGGGTATTCCTGGACAGTGTCCCCCTCCGATGGACACAAATGATAGCTATTCTCTGTCCGAGGAATGTGAATAATTTGACTGTGAGACCTCCTATAGTCTGTGGCCTCAAGAAATCCCACCTTAGGGAGAATCCCTTGATCCCTGGCTAGCCTGACAGAAGTTTGGTGCTGACTGGGCCCAAGATGACCTCAGAGCCTACTGAATTGAGCACAACTTCCCACTGGATGGGAGCTCATGAGAATAGGCTTGTGGGTCAGTTCTGACTGAGAATTTTAAGTCAGTCAGAGCAGTGCTTCAGCAGCCGAGTCGGGCTTTGACCAATCTAGCTCCTGCCCACAGAAAGCTAGCCTCCTGGAGGTGCTGAGGCTGAGGTCCCGTTGTTCACATGCTGAAATGGAGTTTCTCACGTGACAGTTGCAAAGTTAACAGTTCTTTGTACTGTCACTGGAAGTTTTATATCCAGTATTAGCCCTTAGAAATTAATCAGCAGTACTAATAATCAGGGGTTTTTTTAATTTTGATTTCGATAATTTGATTTGGTCTTTGATTTTTTTATTTTGCCCATTTTGTTATATGTATTTTCATGCTGTTCTTTCTAAAACTTTGTTGCATGCTTTTTTGTGTGTGTGAAGAACTCTGAATTTCCTTAGACTCCTACACAGTTTTAATTGCTAGATCACCATGATGAGTCAGGAAAGAGATTGACAGCGCATGACAGGAACAGCGACATTTGACAGTTGTAGATCTAAGACATCCTCTCTCTGTCTCCGAACCATCCTTATTCATTATCCTAACCTTTTGTGAGTTCATAGATACAAAGAATTGGTGCAAACTCTTTGGCAAAACATTTCTGTACATCTAATACACGATATCTTCTTAGCCATTAATGTAATTGCTTTGGATAAAGATAATATATTCAAAAAAATATTAGGACCAAAAATGCACTTGTTTCTTGCCCATATATATAGAGATGGATGTATATTTTTTTTAATTTGGTGTCTGTTTATTTTGGTTACCTTGAATAGAGATTTGCTGAACAGTTTGGATGTTGTTTCTTATTTTTTTAATAAAAGTTGAATTCTTCAAGTGCCCTGGAAATTACTTTCTAAGAAGTGACTTCCTATAAAAAGTATAGTCTTTTCTCTCCTGTGAGTAGGACCATTGCTTTGCTCGTCTCATGGAAACCTGCTTGCTTTATCTCCTAAGTGCATCTGGCAGTCTTTCCTCCAGCACCCATTTATACTTCCCCGACTTCTGGAATAAGCTCAATAACCACCAAGGTAGTCAGGCTCAGGAGTTATTCCCAATCTCAAGTCGTGTTTTCCTGGAACATCTTCTGACTTGGATTTTGAAATAGATTGTTCCTGGTTGTTTATAATAAAAAATATATATATATCCATTTGTTTTAACTTTACCAACTTATATCTGCTGAGAATTATTTTCTAAAATCTCCCAGAAGTAGCCTTATTTCTCGGTAGTAGACATGGGGATATTCCTTGTCTTTTTTTTCCTTATGCAGTTCTTCCTACTTATTTTTAGTTTTAAAATGCGTTTATTACAGAATGCTTGTAGGAAGGCAACAACTTTTGATATGTCATTTTTTTTAAAAGTTCGGTTTTTTTCCATGCTGTATAATAAAGATAATGTGGCTACAGTTATAAGCTTCGTTCTATGGGAATTCTGTACTGGTGTAGCACAGCGCAGTCATTTCTGCATTGCTAGAAAAAATTTTAAAAGACTCTTGTATGTTTCTCTTCAAAAAATGATCAATAGAAGATGGCACAAAAAAAGTATTTTTACCTTAATCATTTTGTAGGAGGCAGTATTTTTACAGACTACAGTTTTCACTGCATCTACTTTAATACGCCCCATCATCTCTGAATTCAGCATCATTCAAAGCAGAAGTCCATACCTTATCGCAGAATCTGTCCGTATTTAGAGAGCCCCTAACATTGGCTCTGTTCCTGACTCTCTGAGCCACAGCTGAATTTATTGCCTTATCAAACTGAAGAACTTGAAGAGCAAGTTGGGGGGTGATCTGTTGAGACTATGAGCTTATCTAGGCTCTCCTGAAGACTTTTCCAAAAGTGGCACTTCTGTGTTAACTGATCAGCCACGGCTTAAGTGGAAGAAGTCGGTTTTTCTTACTCAGACTTGCATTGATACCCAGTAGGCAAGGCGTTTCCGCCTCAGAGCAGACAGTAACCCAGCGGAGGAGCCTACTTCCTGTCTCCTTTTTTTTTTTTCCCCAGTGTTTCAAACTTTTTTCTAGAAAGAATTGTTACTCACATAACGCCACTCTGAATTTGCCCGTACTTTCTCTGCGTGGGCCATTCTTGAAAACTACAGTAAGCCACATCCGAACTGCAGTGATATTGTAGGTAAAGATCGCTACTTTCTGGGTGTGGAGGAAGAGAGTAGAAGATGGGGCCTGAGAGATGATATAGACTATGTAGGGCCTTCTATACAAGTGCCCAGATTTGGCATCTACTCGGAAATAGCTATAAAGGAATAGTATATACCCCAGTATATAGAAAAGAAAGATATAAAAAAAAATTTTGTAACTTAAGGGCTCCTGGGGGAGGGGAGAAAATGAGCAGATACCAAGGACACAAGTAGAAAGTTTTGAAATTGATGACAACATGTACAAATGTGTTTGGCACAATCAATGTATTTTATCAATTGTGCTAAGAGCTGCAAGAGCCCCCAATAAAATGATTATTAAAAAGAAAAATTTAAACATACAGAATAGTGTCATCAGGATCGATCTAGAACAGTGGTCGTGCAGGTGCTTAAGTGTTGCGGTTTAGAGAAAACCATCCTGAAGGTTGAGCCAACAGACTTTGTTGCTAGTTTGAATGTGAGGGGTGAGAGTGGGGAGGGCAATGCAGCTGTTGACCTGAGCAATTGGGTAGAAGGTGTTGGTATTGACCGGGAAGACAGATTTAGGGTGGGGGGAGATGAGGGTTTTTTAGTTGGGACATGTTTTGAGTTGGAGATGCCTGTGAGAGATCCATGCGTGCCCTCAGTTTAGGGCAGAGGTTCAGGCTTGTCAGTAAAATGTAATGTTGACTGAGAGAAGGACAAGATAAACTCGGGGGCATCCCAGCAGTTGAGATGTTCCTGATGCACCTAACCCAGACCTAACTCACTGCCACTGAGTCAATTCTGACTCGTAGCAACCCCTCTAGGACAAGCTAAACTGCCCCTGTGGGTTTCTGAGACTATAATTTTTTCCCGGACTAGAAAGCCGCCTCTTTTCCTCAGAGCAGCTGGTAGTTTCCAATGTGAACCCACTGTCACCAGGGCTCCTTCCCATTGCACCCGGGCACGGTTAATTCTCAACATGTTCTCTTGTACAATTGCTTCTATTTATAATATCTATGAAAGATCTACAAAATACAGATTCTGTGGTCAAATTAATTTAGGAAATCCTGGGTTCCAATTACATTGATTGCTGTGGGATTTTTTAAGCTACATGTGGCCTATGGTTCCCTAAGAAGAGACTTTGCAAGCACTTAGTCCACCCTGGAATCCCCTCCATCCCCAACTCTTAATTAGTGGCTTCTACTAGGATGGGGAGAATTTTGGCCTACAGACATCATTCTTCAGGTTTCTTGCATCAGGAAGTGCAAAGGAACTAAGAAAAATGACATCTTCCACTGAAGTCTTGGTAGATCAGTTACACAGAAATACCACTTTAGGAAACAGTCTTCAGGAGAGCCTAGATGAACTCAGCCTACATGGATGACCCCACAACTTGGTCTTCAAGTTCTTCAGTTTGATACGGCAATAAATTCAGGCGTAAACTCGTAAGAGTGAAGGTTAACTAGGTTGGACTCCTAGACTTTACATCCATGCCCATAAGTCATTTTAAGGTGGAGTATTTGGCGGCCAGCAATACACCTTTTTCTATTTCTATAAATTACATCAGCAAGTTGTGGGCTCATTGTTAGACTTTCAAAAATCTAAGCTCATCTCCTAAATCTATCAAAAACATCTTAAGCAGAAAAAGACAAATAATCCAATGGAAAAACTAGGCACTAGACATGAATAGACGGCATCCAGGAGGCCAACCACCATAGGAATAAAGGTTCAAGGTCATTAGCAATAAGAAATTAAATAAGTTAAACAACTAAGATAACACTGCACACCCAACACTTTTGCAAAAGTCACTAAATGCTGGAGAGGAGGTGGAGAGATTGGGATGCTTTTACATTGCTGATAGGACTGTAGAATTGTATAACTGCTATGAAAATTAGGATGACACTTAAATGCAAATCAGTACCTTATGATCCAGCAATCTCTACTGGGTGTATACCCAAAAGAAAGACTAAAACACAAGCAGACGTGCACAGTTATGTTTGTTTATTGCAGTAATTTCCACAATAGCTAGAACACCCAAAAACTATAGAGCATGCATAAACAAACTGGTATACAAGGGAGTATTGTGTCAAGAACAATGAGAACTCTTTAAACACTATAAGACTTGGACAAAACTAGAGAACATTATACTTAGCAAGCTCAATCTTGCA